AAAAAAAAAAAAAAAAAAAAAAAAAAATTGAACTCTCAGACTAATCTGAATTCACCTTGATGAACATTTTAAGGACACTGTTATAAATCTGGCTAAAAACACAGACAAGGCAATCAGAGAGTTATGTAATAAACACCTCATGGCAAGTCGGCTTATCAACCAATGGTAGCAGATGCTGAAATGAAAATAAGGAATTGATCCAACACTTTAAAGAATGCTTTGAAAAAATAAGTGAAACAAACCACTTAACTACTGACTTGTATAAAAACTACTGTTTGGAAAAATTTATTTCTTTAAAAAACAGCAACCACTTGGAAATAAATATCTGTGCACTAAAAAGACTGAAAAGAAACAAAATGTTTATCTGGATAGTGAGATCACATGCTATTTTTTCTTTATATTTTGTTGTATTTTCTGCAGCAGTGTTTTTGTAATAAGATAATAAATATCCTAATAAACAACTATAGCCGGGCATGGTGGCGCACACCTGCAATCCCAGCACTTGGGAGGCTGAGGCAGGAGGATCTGTGCGAGTTCGACACCAGCCTGGGCTACAAAGTGAGCTCAAGGCCAGCCTGAACAGCATACTGAGACCTTGCTTCAAAAAAAGACAAAGAAAAAAGAAAAAGAAAAAGAAAAAACAGCTATATACAACCTTTGGCAAACACCTGGATACATATCATAAATTTAGACAGAATGAGTACACAGAAATAAGCCAAAAAAGAAACCAGATGTTTTACAGTCAGTTCTTTTTTTTTTTGTTTGTTTGTTTTTTGGTTTTTCTCCGGTACCGGGAACCGAACTCACGACCTTGCGCTTGCCAGGCAGGCGCTTTGCCACTGAGCTAAATCCCCAGCCCCCGTTTTTTTTTTTTTTTTTTTTTTTTTTTTTACAGTCAGTTCTTAATTGTCCAACACTTTAGTAATTTTAAAAAATGGTCCCTAGAAATAATAGAACTATATGCTAGTTCAAATATTACTTTATTTGAATTTAAAGGTAAAGCTGATTAACCCTAAAGACTACATTAAAAAATCATACAGGAAGTAAAAAAAAAATGTCTACTTACAGCAGGGCCTAGGTTCTTGATATCACATGCTGGTCCAAGCCAGTTACCTCTCTGATTGAGCCACTTCAATCACCTAACTGGTCTTCCTGTTTCCACTCTTGGTCCTATGGATCTGCTGTCCTTACTGCCAGATTAAACGCTTTCAGAGCACATCACTTTTCAATGTAACCTCCAAGGTCTCCAGTGTGCTCAGAATAAAATCCAAAATCCTTCCCAGGGTGCACCCCACCTTTCTTGCCCTGAGGGTGCTGGCCTCCCCTCCAGCCTTATTCTGAGCCGCTCCTCCCTGCTTGTTCTCCAGCTCCAGGCACAAGCCTGCTTTCTGTGGTTTCTGTCCATACCAAGTTCACTCCTAGCTGAAGGCTATTGCTCTGGAAGTTTCTTCAGCCTGGGATATAGTTCTCCCAGATCTTCACAAGGATAGAAACTTTGTATAATACGGATTTTAGCTCAAAAGTAAGATCTGAGCGAGGCCTCTAAGTACTTAAATTCTCTCCCTAAGCCATGGCTACCAAGTTACTTTCTAGTTTTATATCTGTTCCCCTTTTCTAGCTCCTACAGAAGTTTCTCTCCTTTCCCCCTCACCTGTCTTGTTCACTGCTGTATCTTGTTCACCGTAGCATCAAGAACAATGCTAAGAATACAGGAGGCATTTAATTAAAATCTGTCAAAGAATGAGGATTGAGGATATATCCCAGTGGAAGAGTGCTTGCCTAGCATATGGGAGGCCCTAGGTTCAACACCCCGTACCTTAAAAAAAAATCTGTTACAGAATAAATGAATGAGATCTACTTTTATCTTTCTTTTTCTATACCTATTCATCTGCCCTCCCTTCTTTCCTGCCCTTTAAACAGAAACATGTAAAAAATAAAAAAGTTATGTTGATATTGGACAGTTTAACAAGGGTCTAGATTGGCTCACCTTTAGGTCACCAGATTAATAGTTAGAAAGTAAAACCAGGCTAACAGAGGCAGTAAGGAACAAAACAACACAAAATAAATTCAGTACATCTCAGATTTATTTCTTCCCTTAGAAATACTCTGATGTCCTGCTGTGATAGCAATAAGTGCTAGAGAAAACCTTTAGCATGCTACCCATTGTAGACTTTGCTGGAAAAGGGAGTTAGCAGAAATAATTGAAAAGATCTGTCTAAGTGAAATTTCAACTGCTCCATTAGGGGGAAGGCATCCAGCTACCATTTGTATAAACACACTATATACATGTAATATTGTTCTGATAATAAGCTCTCTAATGGTTTGGAAAACTCAAGTGAGATGCTTACAGTTCACAGTGAAACAGTATTTCTGTTTTCTGACCACTCAAAGGCCTTGATGGCACTTGCTCAAATACGCTCAGATACTGATATTGATTGACTGACTGCACTACTGGGGATTGAACCCACAGCCTTGCACATTGTAGGCAAGCACTCTACCACTGAGTCACATCCCCAGCCTTTTTATTATGGTCTCTCTAAGTTGCCATGCTAGCTCTGAATTAGTGACCCTCTTGTCTCTGCCTTCTAAGTAGCTGCCATTATGAGCATGCTCCATCACACCCAGTGAATACTGATTATTTTAGTGGTTAAAAATAGTACTCTGTTTTCACTGATTTTTTTTTGAGACAGGGTCTTGCTATGTATTCCAGGCTGCCCTTGAACTCATGTACCTGGGCCTGGCCTCAAACTCATAGTGATCTTCCTGCATCAATCAGTCTCCTGAGTGTTGGGATTATAGGTGGGCACCACTATTTTGGGGCTCACTGACATTTTTAATTCCATAAAGAAGCCCGTCTAAGTTATAAGAATTTCTATTCTTCTTATGGACTGCAATACAGCTAATTTCATGATTTCACTGTGAATGAAAACTAATGCCACTATTAAACACATAAAAAAAAACCTTGCTTACCAAAACTCTAGAAGACAACCTGCGATCCCACTTTGATGCAGATAGGCTTCTCCTTCCATTTCCTGCCTTACGAGACTTTCATGGTCATTAAGTATCACTCAACGCCTTTCTAATGTCATAAGCAGATTATAAGCTTACACGGATAACTTTCCATTTTCTGACAACTGTATCTAAGAGGCTTTTCCTCTACAATCGAAGGTGATTCACTTCTTGCTCTTCAAAGATCTGGGTGGCTCACTGAGAATTTATTAGAAAGTAAGGTGGTTCTGTTTGTTTGGTGCTGGGAATTCAGGTCACAGCTCCTCACTCATGCTAACAGGTACATGCTCTCCCCCTGAGCTACACCTTAGCCCCTGAATTTTTCTCTCAAAGAACACTTTGTTATTTAGTCATAATTCCTATGTGCATATATGTTTGCATGGACATTTCATACGTTTTACCTGATTACATATTCATGGAAACCAAAACAGGAAAATATTTTTTAAAGTTTAACATAAGGTCTTAATGTCCAGAGAAAAATTCAATTAACTTTGTCACAGCAATTGTCTTTTCCCCCATCCTCACTCACACATCCTCCATACATTCAACGAAATTTGCATCATGATAAACACATTTGTTAAATATATATGGCACATAAATGCCAAGCATTAATGTAATATTATTAGTCTAAAACATAAGTAACAGTGCCTTCTATGAAAATAAAATAAGGCTCCACTCAGTTCTCGTGCATAGTAATTATTAAGAGTTGGCGGGAGCCGGGGATGCAACTCAGTGGTACAGCACCTGCCTAGCAAGCAAAGAGTTCAATTCCCAGTACCAAAAAAAAAAAAAAAAAGAAAGAAAAAGTTGGCTGTGAAAATGATAGATTGATGGTTACAATCAAATTTATAATTCTTATGGATATCAACCTTCTGACTATAAACAGAAGCATAACGTATCATTTGGTGATGATAAGACCCAAGTTTTAAAAACATACTCTTAAAAGGCACACTAACATTTCAAGAATCAAACCAAATACCCAGAAGATTGTTGCTGGCCTCTAGATTATCATTATGCATCTGTGCTCACCACACAGAATCCCACAAGGCTAGAATTGATTTGATCTAAAAATGCTATCCTTCAATTTGGAAATTCTTCTTTTTTTTTTTTTTTTTGGTTTTTCTCCGGTACTGGGAACCGAACTCATGACCTTGCACTTGCCAGGCAGGTGCTTTGCTGCTGAGCTAAATTCCCAGCCCTAACTTGGAAATTCTTAAGAGCTTTTCTATAATGTCTTCAGAATAATGCCAAGGGAAAAAATAAAAAACAAAAACACACTTTATGACATTATTTACTATGTAGTGTTAGCCAAAAGATAATGTAAAAAAAAAAAAGTAAAAAAAAAAAAAAAAGATAATGTAGACAAGAACTAGGAATATATATGTGTTTTTTGAGACAGAGTCTCACTGTGTAGTTCAGGTTGGCCTTGAACTTGCAGTGATCCTCCTGCCTCAGCTTTCCAAGTGCTGGGTTTACAGGTGTGTGCTACCATGCCCAGGAAATGGGGGATATTTTAATAAACAAAGTCATTTTTTTCTTCCGTTGTGAAATAAAAAGCCCTACCATCTTTTAAGTAAGAATCAAGGCGAACTACTGAAAATTAGTAGTTGTACTGACATCATCTTTTGTCAGCCAAACTGACAAATTCTTTTAAATTATCTGAAATATGTTTACCAATTACTTCATGAAAGATGATACTACTTATTCCTTCATTTGAGCAAAATTATATAGAAAACTTCCTGCAGTTAAAAACATTTAAATAGGACTTCTACTTCCTTTCAAGTAAGCAGGAAGAAACATCGAGGGGGAAAACGTGAGTAAGATGTTACTGTAAGCATCCGTTGCACTTGCTTCCGTAAAATCAATTAAGCAAATTGCCTGGCACACAATAGACATAACAGTAATGTGCTCCAAAAGTTTGTAAATGCCCTACTTCAAAAGTATCAAAAAGCTAAAATGTGTATAATCCAAATTAGGGAGTAGATTTAGGACTTATTTTTATATAAAAATTGATTTTTGGATTTTGAGGGCATCAGAAATATACACAACAACCTCTGATTGGAGTTTTAACTTTTTTTGAAAGTTATGATTTCTCTTCAGTGATCAATCCTTAAAGCTCTTAGCTACATGTGTTAAAGTGGGAGACATACTTTGTCCCATTATTTTACCCCTGCTTAAAATTAATATTTTAAGAAAGTCCACAAATTTTTTAAAAATTAGGATGCAATTTAACAGCATGAAAAATTTGATCAAAATGAAACTGGGCCTGGTGATATATGCCCATAATCCCAGCACTCCCCTCTTTGGGAGGGGAATCAAATAAATTTTGTTTAAAAATTACAGCCCTAACGCCAAGTGCATTGACAGACCCCCGTAATGCCAGCACTTTGGGAAGCTGAGGCCAGAGAATCACAAGTTTGAGCACTGTCTCAATTTAGTAACTTAGTGAGATCCTACCTCAAAATAAAATAAAAAGAGCTGGGAATGTAGTTCAGTGCAAAGGTCCTGGGTTCAATTCCCAATACCAAAACAGAAGAGAAAGGAAGGGAAAGGAAGGGGAAGAAAAGGGGAAGGGAAAAAGATAAAAACCATGGCTACTAAAGGTGCAGCTAGAGCATCTGCTATTCTAGACAGACAGACAGACAGATAGATAGATAGATAGATAGACAGACAGATAGATAGATAGATAGATAGATAGATAGATAGATAGATATAGATTTCTCAACCATCCTTGGCCTCTAAGTTCTTTGCACCTACTGGGGAAAGTACCTAATGTATCAGTATTGAAACTATACCCAACACTAATTTTAATATGTAATTATCTGATAATAATTTAGCATGTTATATTGGCAAAAAGAAAAATTCTAGAGGGGAAAGAAGAGATTTTGAACATGAATAGAGTAAAAGCTTTTCTTCTTTATCCAAATTTTACACCCTTACCAAATATGCACTCTGTCCATGTGCCACTGCTGATACCATTTTGAATGTGTTTTCCCACTGAAATATTCAGTGCAAGAGTATCACATCTTAATGTGACTTTTTTTTTAAAGAAGTAGGGTAGGTGGGAATAGTTCTAATATCTGAGTGTTAGCTTCAGATGCTTCTATTCCAAACTTCGCATTACTCTTGGAAGATAAATCTTTTCTTAAGGGTCACTAATAAGTAAAAATCTAGGTTTGATTTTTTTGATTTTAAAATCTAGGTTTGATTCTTTAAGAGGATTATTTAGGGGGGAAGGATCTAAGTGTGGAAAAAAAAAGATCTAAGTGTGGTTGCCTTTCTCACTGTCACTATTTCATCCCAAACGGCTTTCTCTTTTCTTAAATAAAAACAACCCTACATCTATTGGCCTCTAGTAAAAACATAAGGTTAGTCAAAACAATATGAACAAATATTTTACAAATACTCCCAGGGGAAACCACTTAATCAGCTGCCTTTTAAAAATATTATCATAATTGCCATAGTCACCACCTCACTTCACTGCTGTCTTAATTCACTGATCATTTCTAGTTGGAGATACTTTGTAGCAGAGAAATATTTCCTTTCAGCATGATCGAACCCAGTTGTTTTCTTGACTTTATTTTAGAACGAATTTCTTCTGCCTCATCTAACACAAGGTTCATGTACTCATCAAAACCAGCAATACAGCCCTCTATCCGTATATTCACTTGCTCATAGAGCCACACTTGAACCCAGGATCTATTCTGCAAGTATCTGAAGATGAGGTTGATGGGCTGCACCATCACTTTCTGCACTTTCTGGTCCTGGCCCCTGTATGCTATGGCGGACTCTGACAAAGACCAAATCGACTACGAGGCTACCTCTGCCAAATGGCTTTTTCTTTCTTTCTATAGGGTCAAACAGAATTTCTATTTACTCAGAAAATATTTTTGGAGGTCTGAGAATCACTTGAAAGCAAATGATTTTCTTCAGAAGAAAACATTACTTAGCTGATATCTTTTTTTTTTTTTTTTTTTGTTTTGGTTTTTCTCCGGTACCGGGAACCGAATTAGCTGATATCTAAGATGTTTGTATTTCTTACTTTGGTGTTTTAATTTCACTAAAGAAATGTGTGTTTGATGAGCTGGCACGTGGAATTGATTGATGCCTTGTGGTAATACAAAAAACAAAGAAGTTGGTATCTGATTTGCTAGAGAAATTGTTCATTATTGAATATACTTTTTAAGAAGAATCAGCAAAAATTCCAAATGTACATCCAGTGGCCTCTTTTCAGTAAGTTTTACAAGCCTAGTGATCTAATAGTTTCATGGTATCTCTGTGAATCAAAGAATAATAACCAAAGCCCAGATTTAGAATACTCCCTCGATGAACTGTCATTTCCTTGATTTAAAAAAAAAATTACCTTTTCTACCATGAAAAACTTACTGAGATTATTAAAGTAAAATAAGGTATTTACATTTGTTTAACCCACATGCATTCATGCTGAAAACACAACTAAAAGGACACAGAGGCAGGTCTTAAACTTCAATGCTTGTACTCTTGGCTGGAAAGGGAATGATGGCAATACTACATGTAGCAGAATTCCTCTTAGGACCACCTTGCGCAGATTAGCCATCGATCCCCCATCATTAGCCAGTTCAATAATACAAAGCTGAACAACTGTACTTCCCATGCTACACTTGCTAAACTTTGAGCAGTTACTCATTGGATAACAAATCCCAGTTCACAGCCATTTTGCTAATTAAAAGTCAAGTAAGTGATTGGCCAAAATTTAGAGTATACTGGTTGTACGAATAATCTTTGAAGTGTAACGGTGTATAACAAGGTCAGAGGTTTCCAAATGGTCTCATGGACAACTCGGCATATGCTTTTCGCATGCAATGTAAATGGCACTATTACCTAGGCTCTGACAGCGTGCACAACAACCTGAGGGACGCACCACTTCAGATACCTAATTTGGCAATCTGACTTGTACACACTGAATACACAGACATACCTGACATTCCAAAAGTCTCAAGCTTGTGAACTCAACTCCCTGTAGGTTTTATTGGTGATTGATTATTTTTAATTAGAGTCTAAGTTCCTCTCAAATGAAGATTTAGATGTGGGATACTCTTAGATATTATTAAATTAATGTTTTCCTTCAAAACATTCAAAATGTAAATACCTTAGGGGAGGCAGATGATTGGAAAGTTACCAGAACAAGGCCTGAGTCCCAAAGTTTCGTGGTCTTTAAGAGGCAGAAATGTATTACACTTAACCTGGTTGCTCAAAGATGAAGAGAATGTGTTGAAATGTATTTTAGATATCAAAGTGTACAACTTCCTCATGATTTCCTTTTAAAAAAACCTCCTTTCTAGTAAATCATGACTCTTCATTTTTCTCCTTTATTAATAAACAAACGTTGATTCAGAGAAGCAATGATTTCACCTAGGCATTACAACATATGCACTGAGCTCTTTTTATTACTTAAATGGAAAGGAACTGTATTTCTCAGATAACCTCCCTATAATTGCATGCTGGCCGTTGCATCTAACTCTGTCTTACAGTGATAAATATACTTCTTTAGGGTGGAAAATTCCTTTTGTTGCTGACTACCCAATATGTCTGTTATGAGTACTCAGAAGAGATTATATTAACATGTAAATACATATATAAAGACTAAATTCATAGATCCAAATATAAGTACAAACATAGATGAACTTTACCAGAGGAAGATATATGAGAGAAAAAGAGTTAAATTCAATCAAGTAAATATTTCATTGAAAAAGACTTGACTCTGAGATAACCATAATGGGGAAATGGTCTGGAAAGGTATTCAACACCATTCTATATAACAAAGCCAAATATTGCTTGCTCAATTACCAAATAATGGTACAGGAGTACTGCAGACCAATTATATTGCAAAATAGTTGCTAGGTATAGTTATCAAACCACTGAAGAGAAGCCCTGCAACAGTGATTGTGGGTATTTAATTTTAACCCTTGGTAGGAAATGAAGGAGGTTGATTTTTCCCTTGTTCAGGAAATCAAATAACAAGCAAGTCAGATTTCCCAGACTCACAGCACAGACCCAGGTGCTTTAAGCTGTTTTACAGATACACAGTTCAATCATTTCAGGAGAGAAAACCACAATTTCCCATCTGAGGATGTATAGGTAGTAAAATTCCCTACCAAAAATAAAAATCTTTGGCAAACAAAAGGATTGAAAATAACTGGCAATCAAAAGGAGATGTTAGAAAGCAAGCCCCACATAGTCTAGGCATGTGGCTATGTCTGTTGTAAAATTTAACCCTTTGGAGACGTAAATAACAGAATGTCTACATCAAGCACTTGGATATTCTGTTTTACTGCTGAGCTTAGCTGGCCAGAAGAAAAAAAATATTGTTTTCCTTTTCTTCCCTGCCACAGAGATAATGCCACTAATATGACCCTGGTCTCTGAGAAAAGAGCCATGATTTCTTCTAGCCAATTAAGGAGTGGCATGGACCAGGCTCCAAGGGAGCCGCACAGCAGCGGCCACTGAGCCCTTCCTTCTTGATAGAAAGGGGAGACGGAAAGGAAAACAGATCACAAGCCTCCTCCAGGGACACATTCTCACAGAGGGTAGCAGATTCTCTATAAATGAAGTTCAATGAAAAACAGTCTCACCGCCAGAAGCCGAGGCACAAACAGGCGATGCCCCATCCCCAGAAGTTCCAGCACTCGGCAGGCATACTCATTCACCAGCTTGCTCCTCTCGTCGTGCATGTCCTGGGACTTTTTGACAGGAGGTGTGAGCTTAGCAGCTGGGGCTGGGCAGGGCACCCCTTCTTCCATGAGCAGTAAGTAGGTATCCAGAATGAGGAAGCTGGATCTTTTATCCACAATATAAGGACTGCGGTGGCAGGGAAGCCAGGCTTATATCTCCCCAGGAGGATGCACAGGATAGTGTGTGGTGGCAATTGCCAGCTAACATCGCCAAGAGAAAGACATTTTGGCTAAATTATCCACTGTGCAAGAGCCCCAAAGTAGACTGAAAAATAAAAATGAAATCAAATGCTGATCTAAATAAAAAATAGCAAAAGCAATCAAATGCAAGAAAATGGCCAAGAGCGATGCAGCAGGGTTCAGATACATGTGGAAAAATGAAGTAGCTGCTTATAAGGTTCTAACATGTAGAGTGTGTGTGCGTGCGAGAGCGTGTCTATCGCGCTGTGAGTGTGTGTGTGTGTGTGTGTGTGTGTGTGTCTGTGTATGAGCAGACAGCGGCAGCAGTAGCCAGGAAGCCAGGGCAGTTGTGAAGCTGCAAGGAGAAAAGGATGAGCTCATTGCAATCCGTGATTCGTGACAAGCAGCGCTGCTGCTGTTTCTGCTGCTGCTGTTGCTGCTGCTGCCGCTCCTGCTGCTACTGCTACTGCGCTGCCTCTTGCTGTGAATCAGTAATGAAGGGGTAAGAAAGGAAGGGGAGGGAAGCGGAGGAGGTAGGTGAATGAGCATGCAGAGTGTGTCTCCGGGGAGAATGCTGTAATAAGAAGCCAATAGTGAGCTGTTGGATAGAAGCACTTCCCCCTCCTAGACCACCTTCAATCAGTGTTAGCGTGACAGCTCATGCTGTTGAATCTTAAACCCACAGACAGATGAACTAGCTTCTTCAATATGTGATGCTCATAGAAAAATCAGACAGACAGCCATCTAAAAGTCTGACCCTGTTCACTCTTGCTTTCTAACAAGGAAACCAGATAAAGTCTGATCTAATTTTCTATATTTAAGGTGGGAAGCTCCAATCCCTGTCAGATTACTCAAATCTCTACACAGAGTGTAAAATGATAGAGTATGAACAGAAGAGCTAGGATTGGGCATCCAGGAAGTGACACACTTTCAGGTTGAAGTGTTTATGCAATAATGATAACTTTTTGCCAGGATATACAGAAGCATTTCAGCACTCTGGGATGGCTGCCCACAACTAAAAGTAAGATTTTTTTTAATCAACACACACTTTGATAAAATATAAAAGCCTACAGTATCAACTATATATTTAAGAAATTACTAAAGTTGAGATTCTCAAAGCAAAACTAACCCTCTTATATCACAAAACTTGTTAACAGTTTTCTAAAATACTGTCTTGATAATCTCTAATAAAATTAATCCCTACCTAGTAATGTGGGTAACATTTAGAATTCTCTATAGTTTAAAATTTTACAGCCTTCATGTGTTAAAGTGTCATAGTAATTTCTTTGGTGTAAGTATCAACTGTAACCAAACAAAGGCAAAAAGACAAGATCACTTTTAGGGACAGGCTCTTAACTTTACCCAACAATCAATCCATGTTCAGCATTTTGCTTCTGCAGTTCTTTAGTTGGTCTCATAAACACCAGATTAATATCTTCATACAAGTTTTAGCATGGTATAAAGATTAATTTGGCTAAAGGCCAGAGCAATTTTACTTGAGTCTTAGTCTCTGACAAGTAAAAACTACAAATCTGCAAATAACCAAATAGGAAAATACTTATTGACATTTCTCATGAAAGAAATAGGTTAATTATGAAACTAGGATTAAAGAGAAAGAAATAGGAAAGACATTTTTCCAAAATCTCACGAAAATAAAACTTTCAAAAAAAATTTAAAGTATGAGTTAACAAAATATCTTAAGTAGGATATTTATGTATTGCTGTCAAGTGTATTATTTCTTTCAAAATCTATTTCTTAAAAACTTTATAAAGTAAATTTTTTACTGTAAGATTTAAAAAGGGATTTGAATATTATATAATTATATAACTTCCACATCCCTAAAGTTTTTGAGAAAAGCCTTTGATAGGCTACCTAGGGTAGGGGCACTTTTCAATGAAGTAGGAAACTCAAAGTTGAGGGAAGAGGTTTGGGGCCTTTCATATTCTACTCACACATGCATGCACGCACACACACACACACCCAAAACAGTTCCATTTCTACCTTGTTTACATACTGTTGGTCTGCTTTAGATTCTATTTGAGAAGACTGCTACTGCTAGTGAGAGTGAAAAGCCCTGCCATAAACACTTCACTTTAGAACAAGGCACCATTTGGGACAAGGGACCATTGCAAAGAAAGCCCTCAGTGACTCCTCAGTTTACAGAATTTTTTCTAATCTACTTTTTAAAGAGTAGGGAAGATGTCTGTACTCAAAAAATAGTTGCAGAAAGTTATTTTTTTTTCTTAGAGCCAGAAACAATTAATTTCTTGCCTGAAAGGTTTTTGGTAAAAAGTAAAAATAAAAACATTTTTAGAACTCTATGGTATGGTTTTGACACTCTTAAAAGAAATCAAAACTACATGGACTGGGTATTAAATATAATAATAAAATGACATGTTAATGAGAAAAGCATGTTTAAAATATTTAGGTACATTTTTACAGATGATATGTGAAAGGTACTG